ACTGCCGGAAGTCTATCTGGGCCTGGTGCCTTTCCATTGTTTTGCTTCTTAAGTGCTTCAGTTAATTCCATCATCATTGTATTGCTTTCTAACATTGTTTCAATCTCTGTAGGTATCTGGGGTAGATTATCATTCTGTAGGTACTGTTTAACTCTTTCCTCATCAATATTCTCTTGTGTATATAGTTTCTCATAATAGTCTTGTATAATTTCCTTCTTCTCTTTACTACCATAGCAAATTTGGCCTTGGTCATCTATTAATTGCAATATTTTCCTTGATTCTTTCTCCTTTCTCAGTTTGTATGCTAACCATCTACCTGGTTTATTGGCATCTTCAAAATAGTTCTGTTTCACGCCTCTGATTTTCTGTGCTAGTTCTTCTTTTTCTATTAGTCCCATTTTATGTTTAATTATATCCATTTTTAATTTAATGTCCTTTTTCTGTGGCATTTTCTGTAGCTCTTTTTCAAGTCCCTTATACTCATCCTCTAATGCCTTAGAGGCTAGTCTTTTCATGGTATTTCTTTTCCTTGTATAGTCTATTATCAAGCCTCTGGCATATGCCTTCATTGTATCCCATACATTCTGGATTGATGTATCTTCTTTTTTGTTTTGTCTAAAGAAGAAAGCCAGTTCTTTCTCCATCCACTGTATGAAGTCTTTTTCCTTTAATATAGTATTATTTAACGTCCATCTAGATCTTCTTTGTCCTTTCCATTTAATTGTCATTGGATTGTGATCTGTCCAAGTACTTGTTTCAACATTTATTTCTTGAATATTAGCTAACAATTCTGTTGACATCCATATTATATCTATTCTGGACCATGATAAATGTCTGTTTGAATAGAAGGTGTATTGTTTAGTCTTAGCATTTCTTTCTCGCCATGTATCTTTTAAATTTATTTCATCTATCATTTTAAAAAATGATTTAGGGAGAATCTTTCTGTTTTGCTTTGTTGTTTTCTGTGCTGTATAGTCCAATTTATTATCTACAATTTCATTAAAGTCTCCCATCATAACTATATTAGCATAGTCCAGTTCAATTATTTTCATTGTAATATTCTATAAAATTCTTCTTGATTGTCATTCGGGGCATAGATTGCAATCAGGAGTGTTTTCATATTATTGTCCATTATTTCCACCATTAGTAATCTTCCATCATCATCGGTATAGATCAATTTCACTGGAATAATATCTTTAATGTATAACACCACTCCTCTTTTCTTGCATTGTGTCAAAGTAAATGTTTTCCCTAATTTTGGCTGTATCAGCAATTATTTATGTTGCTTTTTAATATGTACTTCTTGTAAGCAGATTATATCAAATTTTAATTTCTCTAATTTATGGAAAGTTTTCCTTCTTTTAACAGCTGAGTTAAGTCTATTTATGTTAATTGTAATCAGTTGTTTCTCTTCCATGGTTATATCTTGTAGTTAGATTTAGCAGCTCTCGTAGATCTTGGTTCACATTGTTCTTTGACTTCCACCTTTCCACCTACTTCACCTTCTTCCTTTTCAGTTGCTGTTTGGCAGTCCTCTTGGAATTCAATTAGTGACATTTCTTTTTCTGCCTCCTCCTCTTTCCCTCCAAAATATTCTGTATAAAATAATTTAGCTTTCTCAATTGAGTCAATTCTATGTCTCTGTTCTTGCCATGTGAACATTAAACCTTCTGGAATCAGCCATCTATAATTCACCTCTTTTTTAAGTAGATTTTTGGTCAGAAATCGGTATTCTCTTCTCAACTATCTCACTCTTCTGGGTACTTGTTTCAAGACCACAATCTCCTTGTCTTTATATTTCAGTGTTTTCTCTCTTGCCACTTGCAATATTTGTGTTTTAATTTTTTACAATTTTTTTGTAAATCTGATGTGAACTTCTCTTTGTAAGCTATTTCTCATTGCATATCTTGTGAAGACACGATAAACCTCATCTATTCCATCCATCATCTTCTCTTTAGTTATTTCCAGAGCTTCAGCCAAAATTTCTATCATTATCTCAGCTAGGTTTTGTCCCTTTTCTTCCTCTATGTTTTGGAATTTAAGGTAAAATTCTGATCTGTGCATCTCCCATCACAACATCCTACTTTTATCTTGTTCAACCACAGTTAATCTGCTATCAATATCTCCAATCTTATCTCTTTGTTTATCCTCTTCAATTTTTTGGAATCTCTCATCATACTTCATCATCATTTGTTGAATGTTCTCCACATTTTCATCAGTTTTTTCTGTTCTTTGTTCAATGTTCTCTGTTCTCTTTTCAATATTCTCTGTTCTTATTTTGAATTCCTTGCATAATCATCTGCAGCACCACTTTTTCCTGTTCTTTTTCTTGCTGTAACATCGTCTGTATTGAGTGTTGTCCTCCAGATGGTGAAGAGGAAGAAGTAAAAGTTGAGGAACCAGGGGCTGTTAGTTTCCTATTCATTTCAGACAATTCAAAATCTTCAGGTTCTTCTAGACCTTAATCCACTTGTGAAATAACCAATTGTAATTCCAAGGAAAAATAGTGGGAAAAAAGAAGCCAAATAATAACAACAACAACAATAATAAAAACTTCTTCAGGTTCTTGTATACCTTAATCCAATCGATTGGTTAGAGAGCAGTAAAAACTCAAAAATGGAAGAAAAGACCATAAACACACAGAAAAAGAAAAAATTGTTCAATCCTGGAACAGGCGGAAAAATAAAAATAAAAAACTAAAGAAGAGAAAAGAAAAGTTCTTCAACACCTTAATCCAATTAAAAAGTCTCAGGTATAAAAGGATGCATAACAAAAAAAAGAAAGCCACACAAAAAAATCAATATGGAAGGTAAATAGAAAAAAAGAAATACAAGGGAGGGAGAGAGAAAAAAGAAAAGAGACTACTCCCTTTAAAAAAAGAAAAAAGAAGGAAATCATTAATAATAAAACTTTTCCTTTAAAATAAAATGCAAACATAAAAATTAGACTTCAAAAACAAAAAGAAAGACAAAAACCAGTTCCAAAAGGCCTAAGATCCAAATAGCTATTACAAAAAGTAAGCTAGTAAGGAGGGGGTTTGTTAAAATATGAAATAGTCCAGCTTAAAAACAGTAAAAAGAGCACACTGCACCTTGTTTGGTTATCCAAGGCTTTTGTTAAAATTTATAACTCTCTTCTCCAGAGTCTTATCACCTTTTTTTCTATAAACTTCAACACCAGACTCCAGCTCTTGATAGAAACCCAGAAGAGCACCTGCAATAATACTTTCCCATGCTCTTCCCTCTATCTTATCAAACAGGCAATATCCTTGAAAAGAAGTCTCAGTTCTTTCTCAGCTTTGTCTGGTCAAGAAAAAAAAGAGAGAGAATATTTCCAAACCTCTAGTTGGCAGTGCTACAAAGTTTGTTCTGCTTTCACTTTCCCCTTCCTTTTCCAAACAAGATATAATAAAAATTAATTAAAAAGGGAAAAAGATATTTAAAAAGATGACTAGAAGGGAGTCTCTAGCCTAAAATATTGTAAAGTCAAAAAGGAAAGAAAGAATAGGTGGAAGAAGAGAAAAAAAAAACAGTCCAGTTTCAAAATATAAAATCATGTGTAAAAAAATCCAGCAATGAGAAAAAAAATATTACTTTGACTTCCTGTTTAAAATCGCTGCTTAATCACTTCGTCAAAACTTTTACAGATTCTTTCTTTTCCTTAGGGTGCTCTTTCAAATTTTAAAATAAAGAAAAAATTCTCACCAAACCGGCACACTTTCTCTTTCTGTTCTCTTTCGTTTCGGAGCTGTCCCAACTTCAGCAGCTTTAATGGCTGCCTCTTTGCTGCTGGCAAAAAGAGCTTCTCCTGGATCTACCAGGGACTTTGCAGTATCCCTGGGATTGACAGGACATGCTCTTTACATTCACTGTCTCTTCGGGATGGTTTAGATCTGTTTGGACTGTCCAGGAGCAAAGATATCGGCTGCGATCTCAGACCTCCAAGATCGCATGCCATATCGTCACGACACCAGCTCCACCCTCCAAGTACAACCATATGTTTTCTTTAGATACTTCAAAGTTATAGGGGCACTGAAAATAGTGACTCCTGATCACTTTTCACACTTACAACCATTGCAGCATCGCCATGATCACATAATCAAAATTCAGGGATTTGGCAATTGGCATGTATTTATGACAGTTCCACTGTCATGTGACCTTCCCAGTTAACTTCCAACAAGCAAAGTCAAAGAAGATTTGCTTAACGTCCACATCATTTAGGAAAGCACTCCAGAGGATTAATGTCATTGTCCAGAAGCTCATTGGTTGCCCCCTCCCCTCTTTGGAAGAGCTTTATAGCTCCCGCTGCCTTAAGAAAGTTCAAAACATTCTCAAAGAACCATTTCATCCTGGGAACCCTTTTTTTGAACTATTACCATATGGCAGACAGTACAGAATAATAAAACTAGGCAAATAGGCTGAAAAACAGCTTCTATCCCAGGGAAGTAGCTCTGCTGAATTCTGCTGTATAATGCAGTGTTGGTGTGGTGTTGGGGATTTTTGGTCCAATGTGTGGAGGGTAAAGGATGTGTGTTTGTGTTTATTTTCATGGTCATGATGTGCACTGAAGATGGTGTTTGATTTCATTGTACGAGGTGCAATGACAACAAACTAAACTAAACTAAACACTTAATAACTGCAGTGATTCACTTAACAACTGTGGCAAAAAGGTTATAAAATCGGGCAAAACTCCCTTAACAGCTGCCTTGCTTAACAACAGAAATGTTAGGCTCAGTTATGGTTATTCATTGGGGACCACCTGTATATTGTATTTCAGTGTTTCTCAGTCTTGCCAGTTTTAACTCCAAATCTGGGAGTTGAAGTCCACACATTTTAAAGTTGTCAGGATTGAGAAACTGTTTGAAAGTGTGAAAATGTAAAAACAATGTTTTACCACTTTGAAGAGGAGGTATGATAGTTTGTTATATCGCCAATGATACTACACTATGCGCTTATTGTCATCATATGGTACTGATTTGTTTTTGTTGTGTTTATTTAAAGCTGGATGAAGAAGCCTCGTTGTGGAGTTCCTGATCAGTTGAGAGGCAACTCTAGATTTAACATTCGTCGAAAGCGATATGCATTAACAGGGCAGAAGTGGCAACACAAATATATCACTTACAGGTATGAAAGCAAAACTGTGACCCTTCAATTTGTAATTTCTTAACACTTAGAAAAATACAGTTCTGCTGCTTTGTTAGTATTTGTGAAAGACAAGAAATTGGTTGTTGTCTAGAAATATGGATTTGAATGTTTTGAGAGAAAAAGCTCTTGAACTACAAAGGGGAAGAATGGGTTTATATATCAAATGTAACTGAAGTTTTCAAGGTCAAATCAATTCCTTACTTCCTATGTGCTAAGTTTTAAATTTATTTATATATTTATTATTTGATTTATGTGCTGCCTACCAATTTAAAATACCTACTGGATTTTAAATTGGATTTCATCAAGAAAGAATAAGAAGCAGAAAGTACTCATTTCAATTTACCAATAACAACAGTATGTTGCTATACATTTTATAAAGTATAGGAGGGAAAAAAAGCAGCTGTAGGATAGAATGAGAGAAATTAAATGCATATTACCAATGAAAATGTGAAAAAGTCATTTTCTTTGACTTGTTTTCTCCAGTAAGATTAGGTTGAAAGAGTTGTGAAGAAAAGTATTTTTAGCTGAAAAACCCAAGGACAAAGTTATCAGCATGTCCAAAAAAGTCCTGAGTTAAACATGCAGTGGCCATATCTTAGTCCTGCTCATAAAGAAGAATGTCTATGGAGATTCTCAGTCATCCAAGTCATGATTGTCGCAAAGGTGTTTTTTCAAAAGGCCACTGAACTTTGTTTTTTCCTTTAAGACATTTCACTTCCCATTCAAGAATGTTCTTCAGTGAAGGAGATTCAATCTTCAAGGAAAAACCAGTGGCCTTTTGAAAAAGCACCTTTGCGTCATAAGGAAGAAACATAATTTGAATCAAAATTGGAAGTCTTTTCCAACTTTCACAGTTATTGTATGTTCTTGGATTCCTGAGATCTTACACAAGATTACCAATGCTTCAAAATGCTTTATCATTTTCTCACGAGATCTTGGAAAACTTTGGGACGTTTTCAATGCTGTGAGTTTATATTTGTTTTTTATTATTTTATTTAATTGGATTCTTCGGGGAGATTTGAGGCATTCTGATATTGATGGGTGCCTTGTTGTCAACTGTTCCTCTGGAACATAGTGTTCCTCTGGAACATCACTAATCACAAATTAGTGATGGGGATTGTGCCCTTTATGGAACTACTTATAGCTACTAATTATTCATCCCCCTTCCAGGATTAATGTTAAAAGGACAGTTCGAAGAACGCTGAACAGGTTGAGAAGGGATATATTTTCTTTTCACATTATAGAAACCTGATCTCTACCAATATATTTATTAGTTAATTAAAGGACTTTGGGCAACAAAGAAAACTATATGGAACATATGTTTAGGGAATGACAACAACATAGCTTAATAAAAATTAAATTACTGTGAATCAATTTCATTATTTCTGGAAGGCAACAAAATGTATTTTATTTAATTTGTGATAAATAACACATTAAATAGTACATTAAACTGGGCCTAATAATTCATATTAGGTGACACTTAATCCATAATAGATCATGACATTAATGTCAATAAGTTGTTCCAAAAAGAAAGTAAAAGCTTCATCCCAAGATTTTTATTTGTATGTCCTGTCCATGCATGGACTGTTGCACAAACAATAACTTTCCCTACTTGGCTTAGTGAACTGGTATATGTTCAAATCTGTTTTTAGATTTTTTAAAAAATATTCTGTGGGCTGAAGATGGCAAACATTTTTTCTTTCATTTTTTTCTTAACTAGATGTTAAGAAAATAGTGGAAGGATCTCTGTGTCCCAAGACTTTTCTCTTGAAATAGATAAGACCCAAGGGTCAATACTCACCCACTCAAAAAAAAAATGAGTGTTGAGTTCCAAATAAAATCTGAAAAAAAGAAGCAAAACAGAATAATCTATAAGGAGAAAAAAAGAACACTTATTGGTACAGAAGGTAAAATATGAACTAGTAGGAAAGTATGGTGAATCTATTAGCACAGGGGTCCCCAGCCTCTGGTCCACGGACCAGCACTGATCTCTGCAGGTGCCAGAAACTGGGCCATACCAAAAAAGCAAAGATCCACCCACAGGATGCAGGCAGCACATGAAACCACACTCCCTCCAGTACTCAGAAAAACCTTATAACCAGTCCTGGTGCCCAAAAGTCAGGGGCTGCTGTATTAGCAGTAAGTTATACATGAACATAGAAGTAAGTTATATATGAACAAAGGCTGACAATTAAAGGGGGAAATTAAATAGCATTGAAAATGGTATTTCTACTTAGAATTGGGGAAAAGGGAGTGAAATTCACTACATGGATGCAGTGGCTAAAAAAAGATATTCTTGTTGGCAGTTCTCCTTTAATACCTAGGAAAGTATAGATTAATAGTGGAATTAGCAGTTATGATTTAGATGGTACCAGTAATTAAAGAAGAAATGATGCTGTATTTCCTGCCTTTCTGCAGACCTTCATGTTTTGAATACTGAGATCTTAGTATGATTAGCTGAACACGCTTATAAGCATCCCAATACTGACAACCTAATGGGGCATCATTTCCCATTGTAGATATTTGCAGATGCATTCTTTTAAATATACTTTCCTTACCTATTTTTACTTTTTAGTGTTAAACTAAAAAGAAGGCCTATATAAATAACTATACATATACATAAACAGGTATATACATCCTCCAGTCGATATACTTTTTAGTTTTGGGTGGGAAAGGACTTCAGTGCAAAGGCTTCAATGTCCATTATGTTCAAACAGGATAATTTATCTAATTATGGAATCACCACAATTCCTGAAAGCAAGTTGTTACCAGGGGTGGGATTCTACCAGTTCGCACCTATTCGCTAAAACCGGTTGTTAACATTCTAAGCAGTTCAGAGAACCGGTTGTTAAAAGAAATTAAAGGCCTAATCCTGTAAGGAAGATAGGAAGGAAACATTCTGGTGTTGCTTACAGAAATTGCCTCTCCGTTAACCCTTATTACATTCTTGGCAGGACTAGACTTCCTGTCTCAGGAACGTCTCTGTAGTTTTTTTCCCTTCCTTTGCTGAAAAAAGTGACTTATGATAATTTTTCACACTTACGACTGTTGCAGCATCCCCACAGTCATGAGAGGCCAGGCGAGGAGATGCGTGCCTCAATGTGAGTGATATTGAGTTGGCCACGCCCAGCCAGTAACATGACCACCAAGCCACGCCCATCAACTTAGCCACGCCCACAGAACTGGTTATTAAAAAGTTTGAATCCCATCCCTGGTTGTTACCATATCTTTATAAGGTTATTGTCATTCCATCCAGAAATTTCAGTCTTTTAGGAATATAATGAACAGGTTAATCTCTTGATATCCTTCAGATATCTTCCCTAACGCTTCCTATTTATTGTTCTAATCCTTTTAGTAGTCAGTCGTATTATTGGCCTTAGCATCATCCAAGGAACAATACATTAATTAATGGCAGTTTAGAAAATATTTTGCTTTACTTTGACTCTCCTGTGGTCTAATTTCATAGGTATATTTTAAGCCAAGACATTACAAATGTTATTATAATAAGTAAATGAGTTCCTGTAAAAAATCTTCAATTTTAATTCATAAATTTGCTTTGAATATTTATTTATGTATTAAATTTACATCATGCCCATTTCATCAGTGATGAGTTGGCTAGTTAGAAATAATATATCAATAGCAATAGCACTTAGACTTATATACCGGTTTACAGCGTTTACAGCCCTCTCTAAGCGGTTTACAGAGTCAGCATACTGTTCCCAACAATTTGGGTCCTCATTTTATTCACCTCAGAAGGATGGAAGGCTGAGTCAACCTTGAGCCTGGTGAGATTTGAACTGCCAAATTGCAGGCAGCCAGCAGTCAGCAGAAGCAGGCTGCAGTACTGCACTCTAACCACTGCATCACCATGGCTCATATATATTCTTTTTGCTTATGTAATTTTTTTTGCTAATAATACAGTTCTTTCTTGATTATATATATATATATAATATATATATAGTAGTTGTCTTATTTCTGACCAATTATTCTCAGTAATCCCCAATCCAGTAAGATTGACATTCAATTAAAAAAAAAAGTGCACTCAAATTCATGTTGTGTTATGCTAATAGTTTAGCTACCAGGTAATTTTAAGTAACATGTTTTTTTCTGTCTTACCAGTTTCTCATTTGTACTGGCTTCTGCTTAAGAAACATTTTTATTATTATTTTGATATTTATATTCCCTGAATGATATTTGTTCCCAGTATCACTTGCCATCTGTGAAATCCATTTTCATGTCAGTTGCCTCCTTTTGAGATAAACTGTTAGAGACCTCTCCATTTGTTTAGATCTTTGTGGTATCAGCAGATCTATATACTGTTCTGCCAGATAATAAAGTAATATGATTAATTGTACAGTATGTGAGTTTTCAAGGTAGTGTCTAGGTTATACATGGTAGTATAAATAGTACCAAATACATGAGCATGTTGCTCTTTAGTTGAGCTGATGAGATGCTGGGTAAATGAATAAAAATCAATAGCTGCTATAAACAGGAAATGCAGTAAATTGTATGGATATTACTAAGTATTCTTATCTAATGTACTGTTCCATATCATATGGTACATTATATTAATATTATATTCATTTTTATGGGTCCTCTAGTAACAAATATGGCATATGGAGGATTGCAACTTGAAATATAAGTTGAATAAATATCAAAGAACATTCATGAATTGCTCATGATGCTCATGAATGAAATGAGAGAAACAAGTCCCCCCAAAAAACATCTATAGATCTATAGAACTAAGAGTACTGTAATGAATGAAGGTAATGTGTTCTTGGGGAGGCATAAGGAATCACAGAGATGACCCCATTGCTGTTATGAATATATGATTTAAGTCCATGACCAAAAGGAAACTTTAGAAAGAAATTTAAATTGACTTCACCTGAACACACTTATGTAATAGGGCAGGAGGGAAAACTCTGTCAGATATTCAAGATTCTATTACTAGCACTTTTATCAATAAAAGTAGTTCTGAC